TCAGGTACTTGGTCACATGTACTCCCAAGAGAGCACAGACACAACAACAAAAAGGGGTGAGAACTACATTCAATAAATAAACGGTGAAATACACATGCTAAGGAGTAGTTACACACCATACATAGAATAAGCACAAATAACGCACATACACGTGCCACATCAATCACTTGGAATTCATAGCCCACACTCAATTACAATAATGCAATGTGACTCACTGACTCGACACAATGCATGTGGTACCAACACAATCTCATACGGTTCACACTAGAACCCGATTCCTGTCGGAATCCAGATAAGTCATATATACGTTCCTCTGAACTACAACTTATCTCCACAACAACTTCCGCAATGAAGTCCGGATGAAACTAGGAACCCATCATGGATTCCCACCTAGCCATCTCCACAAGACACATGATATGAAATGCATGTCAACACAATTATGCAATGTAATACATCATGCATAATTCACGATCAATCTTGATCCACACAAGCCATACGCTCACCATAATCCTCTCAGGAATTACCACAATCGCACAAGATTGTCCACATTCGACCATCTTCGCCCACATCTATCAAAACACCAAGACATCATTGAACCAGAACATGATTCGTTACTAAAACATATACACAATTGACTTCTCAAACATAATTAGATATAAAAATATTGGGAAAACAATTCCATTATCTATCCTATGTTATAGCTCTATTCATTAGCTTTCCAACGCTTCAAACGGGGATCAAAACGGACTTACGGATCCAAAGTTACGTCCAAAACAATTTCGACCGAAAACATGAACAGTCGTGACGGACAGAAAGACGCTGTTACACTCCGGAACTGGTTTTCACTCAATTATTCTTGCGAATCACTTACTCAAAGCATCCAAAACATCACTAAAACATTTCTAAGGTTATACGGCAATAACTGCACAACTTCTATGGTTTATTATGCTCATCTGGCAACATTTGCAACACATAAAACACTATTTCCTACAATTGCTCTGAGTACTTTAGAGTTACCCACATTTGAATATTCCTATTCCTATAGGGACAACATATTACAATTTTTCCTTCAATTACACTCTACGACATTAAAACTACTCACTATCTAATATTCAATCCCTTCAGGGTCAGACATATAACAATGTCAAGGTTCTGGTCACGAAGGTTCAATTTCCCATAAGTTTTTCCTATATTAATATTCAATGATACATATCATTTGGCCATTTGGCAATAACCTAATATACTTACGATTACTTCCTATTTCCCACAATTAACCCAAATCTCTAAACCTTAGGGAAACCTTAGAGCATCGTTCTAATAACGATATAGCACATTCATTTCTACATATTTACCCAAATCCCTAAACCTTACATCACCACAACATACCGAAAGGTATATATAGAAAACTATGAAAAGAAATACTCCCCATACAATAATCATTCAAGAACAGCAACAATTTTATGGAATTTATCATGCTACGAAAATTAGATCAAGAATCCTCAAGAACACATAATTCCTATGAGAGAAAGGACCTCTCACTACCCTCTCATGTTAATTCACCCATATTGAAATCCATTTTCCCCCCTTACCTCGATTAATTGCTCAATCGTTGAAGAATCTTGAAGGATTGACAGCCCTAGCCTCCTTCTCTTCCTCCTTGTTCTTCTTCTCACTTTTTCTCCTAAAACCTTTCTCTGACAGTTTATCGTGTTCTAATTCTCTTTCCCCAAAAAACTTCTCTATTTCCTTTAATCCCTTATTTCTTATTTTATTATTTAAATCCTATAATAATAATAATAATAATAATACTAATATTATTCTCCCACTAATAATAATATTCATACTAATAGTAATAATATGAATAATAATAATAATATTCCACCAAATAATATTATTAATACGAATAATAATAATAATAATAATAATAATAATAATAATAATAATAATAATAATGATAATCTTATTAACATTGTTATTAATAATAGTTGGAATAATATTAATCACTATAATACTCTCGATATCATAATTAACTTACTTCTTTATCTAGGTCCACAGTACCCCAACTAAGGTCACCTCTCTCTCTTACTCCTAACCTCATACCCTTAATTAAGGACACCACACAACTACACCTCACAGAAAATACCAACGCGACTGAATAATTTAAATGGGGTGTTACATCTTCAATGGTAGAAGGCTGTTGAGTTGGACAACTGCTGATACGTGTAGGTTTCACAGTCGAGGCCGCCTTAGGTTGGATTTTCAGTTTATCTTGCACAGACAAGGTACTTGTTAGTATATTAAGGAAAAAGAGTAATAAGCAAATTAAAGTCATAAGTACCTTTAGGGTTTTTCCTTCAGGGATAGAATTGGCGCTCTCATTTGGCACTAACTTTTTGGTCGCTGGGGTGACTTTCACTACATTGCTAGTATCAATCTTCTTCCCTGATTTCATTTTTGGTATGGGAGCCACTCCTAGACTGGTTGGGATTTTCCTTGCTCTCATAATGACTTTCTAGGTATTACCCATTTTGGCTTCTATCTTGTCTAGCCAGGAGATATAGTCATTGTGTTTCTTAGTCGAGGGAGCGGAGCGGAAAACCCACATGTTGGTGGTTTGATACTTTAAATCCATGGATGTCTTAATGCTAGCTACGGGTTTAGTCCTATGTTAAGCAGGGAAAAAGTCTTTGGACTTGGAAAGATCATCTTTAGGGTCAAGTGTAGGACCTATAAGAGCATAATCAGTGTCAAAAAGTGTAAAGGGAATGAGTACCTGTGAAGAGAAATGTCACGATGGAAGTGACGTCAGCCCACTAGGTGAACAGTTATCTGAGAAGGCCAAAAATGCCCTTATCTTCTAAAAAGATGTCGAAAGAGACCTTTTTAGGGGGACAATTTGTTAGTTGGGAATCTCGCTTCAACCATATTCTGAGACTTAGAGGAAACTTGGTTGTTAAATGGAGAATCTCGACACCAATTTATTTCAACCACACAGGTCTTATTTCGTTGGTATGATTGGTCGAGGAAGCGGTTATCTAGGCGCGTTATGTCATGTTCAAATATTTGATAACTGCTTTAGTTCCTTTTCAAAAGAGACACGTGAAAAGAGTTTAAGAATGGATTACATGCATAATTGCATGTGGTAAGCTCAAGAAAGAGGAACGTTAAGAATAGTTATGTTGCACTTGTATATATAGTAGTTCATTAGGTTGAATTATGGGTGTTTATTGTATTACAAAAATATTACTTAAAAACTCAAAGTATTCGTGTTAAGAGAAACGAGCGAATAGCTGAGAGGATGTAAGCACATATGAAACACCATATTTTATTTTAAATGCAAATTTTCTGGTTTACTCAATTTACACTTCGTTTTGTGTTTTTTTATCTCCATTTTCTTCTAAGTTTTTATTTTCTTTTGATGCTTTCAGTATTGTTATCCTACTTTTATACTTCTTGCAATAGTCGAAGTTTTCAACATTATATTAATTCAATACTTACCTTCGACCAAGTCGAAGTCTATTATCCTAAAACACAGAAATCAATAATGAGGTTGTTAGACCCTATGCCCTAGGATTCACTAGTTGATCCTGCAAGTAATCCGTATTTTTGGAGACTAACGGTTGTTTACTATTTTTTAGGGTAAACACACGGAAGAGACACAATTGACATTGTTGTACCGGAGACATCGCTGGAGGACGGGAGAATCGATGGCCGAGGAAGTAAAGCAAGCAAATGAGGTAGAGCAGACAAAGGAGGTAGAAGAGATGTTGTTAAACACACACAGTAGTAGTCTCTTATTATTTTGTTGTAGTACTATACTCTGTACTTTATTTTGACGATCTTACTACATTTTGGATCTCGATTATACGACATTTTCTACATATATTGTTATTTTATTTTCCACACACATAGTAGTAGTCTCTTGTTATTTTGTACATCTATTTTTTTATTTGCGATTGTACGTTATACTTCATCTGAACACAGATAAACAATTTATAGCATTAAATACTTGCTCTGCTATATTTCGAAGATGTATTTCCAAAATATTCACGAAGATGCAACTCCGATACAATTCAAATGTAAATGATTTTTGAATGGGATGCATTAAATGTTTAAAATTGCTCTAGAGATGCATCTCCGAAATATTTTAATGTTTATTCAAAAATAAGTGCGTCCGAAACTATATCTTCAAAAATTAAGAACATTTAAATAATTTCGCGTAATAACTAAAGTATCTAAGACGCATCAAGAAATTCTCTTTCACAAAGGTTGGGAAGTAATCCTTAGGATATGCTAAACAATTCCCAAAATAAAACTGCTTAAAATTTTCCTTAGGTTAACATTGAGTAGTATTAACAAATAAATCTCTATTGTAGCAACAATGATTCAACCAACAAAATCCAACTTCGACAAGATTTAAAACTATCCATTTTCTTTGATAGGGTTTGTGTTTTACACTTTCAATTATTCAATATGCTTCTCTTTTATATCTAAGCAAGTGAAAAAATAAAGCAATTCCCAACAATATACTCACTCATAAATCCGGGTATAAACATATCAAAGTTACATCAACTACAATATACACAACATAAGATCAAAATTTCTTTTCCGTTGCATTGGACATGCAATGCAAGTGCAATGAAATCAACTGGAACTACACTTGCCCACTGCTCAGTTGTGTACAACTCAATTGCAATATGTAAAGAAAACCCCATTGATGAAGGTTCGTTGTATTGCAGCACAAAATTTGCTTGTTTTGCCTTCACCATCACTATCCCTCAATCCCATTTTTGAATTCTATAGTTGGGAATGAATGCTAAAATTGAAATCTGTAAACATCCCAAATTTCAGCACCAGTTGTATCAAGATCGACGGGCACCAGAAATTCCAAATGAAAGTTATACAGGGTAGAAACATAAAAGCAGGTTGGTCATAAAACCAATGAGGTCACCACCAAGAAATGTGTAGAGTCATCCATGTGATAAGACTAGTTGTGAAACCTAATTTGCCTTACGTGTGGTCTGTACTGCTGAATTGCATTGAATGTTTTTTGTGTATGTATTTGTGAGAGCAAATAGTAACAGAACAAAAACAACTTGGGCACTCACGATACCAAAATGACTGATACTATTTCCAATTTCCATCCAACTTCCTGTATTACGTACCTGCCAACCATCAATTTTGATATATAAGATACCTGACCTCAAATATATATCCCCCAGCATCAAAATTAGCAAACGAACAAAATTTAAATTTATGTGAGCAGTTACAGTAAAAAGACGATAATGAAGTAGATAGTGGCCATTTTAAAACGAGCACCGATACTGAATACTAGTACAAAGTTTATTTTTACCAAATACAATGAAAGGGTCCATGAACTGGTAGACCATACAAGGATGGTATTGTGAAAAACAGTTACTGCAATTTAATATATCCATTTGCCATTGATGATATTGTTTTCTACAACAACTGCTACTCAACTTTCTTTCTGTTTTTAAGGTTTTTTCATGATCACATTCTCAGTTATGAATTACATAAACGATTTCAAACACCCAAAAAAGAGGAGGGGTTTTGTTGGGTGATCAATCGGCAACCTAAAATATAGTTAAATCTTCATGGCACGGATCCAGTAGATATGAATTATTTAGTATCACAATTTGATTTTGACACAATGTTAATGATTGTTGGTTATAACTAAGTTAGAATTAGAGTATTTTAATAATTTTGGGTGAGAAATATCATTGATCTCTTGAATTAAATGAGTACCATGTAAACTAGCAGAATTATTATAAAAGACCAAGTAGGAAAGTGCGATATATCCAAGAAGTTGTGAACCTGAAATTAAGGTCGATAATTAGGGATTCATTAGTTCATTTATGAAATCATTTGTATACAAATATACCGTTGTATATTCTTCATTCTAAATGTACTAAAAGTAATATGTTTGTCGGCTTCAAAGTTTTTACGTAGTCTCTTCTCTTTTCTGTCTTTCAAACCTTTTTTCTCTTTTATATTATCAACATGACTATCAATTTTTATCAATAAACATATATAAAATATTAATAAACATAATAGATCAATAGAGTGAAGAAAAAAAAACAAAGGACATGGCGCTACGCTACGAGCCTAAACAAAAAGAAAACTGGTGAAAAAAGCATAGAAGTTGATGGTAACAAAAGAAAAGCATTCACAGCATATACACCATTTCTATCTGTTCACTTGATCAGTTTATAACAGTGGAATAAAGGCATTAACAGGATATGAAAAATCAAGAACTGTGAGAAGTGAGAACATAAAAAAATTTATACAAATCTATGAAACCTCAAAGAAATTATGAAGAAAAGGATGAGTATACCAGAAAGAAAAAGTGAATGGTCATCACGTCTGAGAATAATATAACAAGAAAGTAGCATCCCATCCTTGGAACTTCGTTAAGTTTGGTTATTGCACTAAATGCACATCTGCAGTTCCGTCCAGTGCAAGTAATATTAGATGAATAATTGCAAAAAAGATATAGAACCACAACAAGTGTTACAAGTCATAACAAGTTAGAATAAACAGAAGATGTATATATGTCACAACTTGAAAAACAGTATCTAGAAAACATTATTTATGAAATATGTACCATTGGACATTCTTATGCGATTATACCATTTGAATGCTATTTTCTCCTATTTAGTTTTGGGAAATAGAAAAGATTATAAAGTTTATCATGTTTTATGGCATATGATATGATTAAATGCAAGAGCCAGATGTATTCATGATGCTATCTATCTACGGAAAAAATTGTTCCTGCTTTATTTTTAAAAAGAATAATGCTAACAATCAACCATGGGAAAGTCCATAGCTTAAGAAGTTAATACAATCACATATCATTTATTTGAGATGCTTTGCCAGTAAGAAAGGACTTCCCATCTATTTTACGAATTGAGTCTCAAAGATGTATACTTGAGGGATAGTTATAAATAGTGTTACCAGTAAAGTGCACTTACATTACAAGTATGAAGGGTATAAATAACTTGAAGATGAGCAGCGCTGCCATCAGAAATGGCTGCAATTGGGAGGAAACATATCAGTACAAAAGCTTATTAAAAGTAATTAGTCAGAAATTAAAAGAAGTTCAATTTTCACTTACACTAAAGACAGTAATGAACCGATAAACTGATGAAATCTCAAAACTAGCAATACTGGCAAAGTTTCCCGTTCCAAAGAAGGCAATGTTGAACAAAACCATCTGCATCACGCAGTAGTTAACTCAATAAAAGGATCCTCAAATTTAATCAAGTAATGAAGGAAAAAAAGCAGAGAAGAATGAAACTTACAAAGGCCAACGGGATTCTCACATCAGAGAGCTGCAAAGATCTATTATCATATCCAAGGATGAGATGATTTGTAACGATTTTAATGGAATTTGATGTTGAGTTCTTAATATTCAAGTTGAAAAGTGTATTTTCAAAAAGTATCCATGCCATAAGTACAAGAGCAAGAGCAGCATAGAATACAGCTTCATATCTGCACAGGATTCAAGATAGAAAGGGTAAAAATGTATGCATCATTACATTAACAAGAGATTCAGAGAGCATCTAAAAAAGGTTTGTTTAAAGAGATATACCCAATGGAGAGAAGAAGGAATGGAGGTGCAAAGCCAAGGAATATGGAAGTTAGTCGAGATAAGATGCTATTTTCTGAAAACAGTGGGAGTACCATAGAAAAACCTAAAGAAGAGGTGGTCAATATTATTCAGCACTGAATCTTAAATTTTAAATAGTTTATGCATCACGGTAAATTTAAAAGTCAGCAACAAGTATAATCAAAGCATTTTCCTACTAGGTGGGACTGACTACACAGATGAAATGATATCACAATGTCCTTTATGAATCATGTCTAAAGATAGACGTAAGCAAAGCCACAAAAGTAGATGAAAAAAGGTGATTACTCACTCTTGAGAGTATCTAAAATCTCGCAAAGTATTCAATAGCTTGAAGCCGTGACCCATAATGTGAAATCATAAATTATTTCTAATTAAAAAGCATGTAAGCATTAAAGTGTTAATCAGTAAGCTATCTAATACAAGAGCAGGTAGAGCTGTGTGACACAACATGGGTATATAATAATAAAGAAAGGGAGAAAAATGAAAAGTCAAAACTATACCTGCAATGCTCCAATTTATCAACTGGTGAAATACAAGCAATTCTTGCTTTTCAGTTCTGTGAGTAGTTGATAAATACACCATGAGTGAAGATAAAGCAACCAAAAGAGCCTGTGCACAGACAACAAACGTTAACCAGTGGGTTTATCATATATTATGCATAACTAGGCTTCCAAAACTCAAACACAAGAGGCAAAGAAGTGACGAAATGAACCTGAAAGTAAAATAGGGCTGAATATTTGGGACTTTTCAGCTCACAATTGGATATACTTAGCCAAAACTTACTCCCTCCAGCATGTAAAGCTAGCCACCTCGCAGCTATTCCTATAATGATAATAACAGCGCCGCTACTAACTCTGCAAACATAATAGTATGATATGTTCAACAGTGTTGTATGGATTCAAGGGTTGATCAAGTAATAAAAATGAAACGTAATGAAGGAATCTTAATGTGTACTTATTTTAAATATTCAACAGGAAATTAGATCCCTCTAGTATTCTAACCGAATGGAAAACACAAGGTTCGGAGAGAAAGTGAAAACAAAATCATATTACAAAGGTTTCTGTATTTTGACCAAAATGAATTATTATCTGAAAAATACAGTAAACATAGGTCTATATGCGACAGCAAAATAGGCATAACATTAAAACTACCTAACTGATTTTAGATCAGAAAGTGCTGACTCAGCACTTTGAATTATGTGTTCAAGTGATCATGTAACTTTAGCTAAGAAATGAGTTATACAAACTAAATTGTAACAAAGAAGAGTAACAGTCAAATCTTAAGAGAATAAAAAAAATACAACGAGAAACTAAGAACCATTCTTAGTTTTTTAGGTTACAGTTCGTGACTTCAGTTCAGCAGTTTGTCTGCCTAGCATTTCCAAACATTATCAAACTTGGACTTTTGCTAACAGTGTGGTAATTATATATTCAGTGGAAATGACTTACACTAACAGATTATTGTCAGGAATTTCTGCTGGCATCAATGTGAAAATAGACAAACACCAACATGAAATGCAGACATATATCGGTATGCCAGATCTCCAGGGAATTGATTTAAAAAGATAAAATGAAGCTGAGGCCCCAGCAAATAAAAAACACCCAGTATAGAGTTTCCTATCAGTGAAGCTGTTAACCTGCAATGTATACCAAACATTTCATCAGATGAAACAGAACTTTACTATTGTTGACTTAAGTCATTGTTAGGATTATTATCTCGTTTTTCCTATCTTAGTTTGGTTGGTCAACTATTTTTCCTTATTTTGAGATATTCTCTCTTGTGTATATATAGTTGAACAGTTATTCTAAACAATTCAACGGCTAGCTTCGACAATATTATGAAAAAAATATATATACCAGGAATTCTGCAATAAAAACTGCGACAGCAGTAGTGGCGAGTAGCTTAATAATGCGGTGCATTCTTCTTTCAAATAAGTGTTTCCATAATGCCTTTATAAACTGGTATTCACTAATTATTTGAATCCATAGAAATGATGTCATTATCATGTATGCATGGTAAAGAGGAGGAGAATGCTCCAGCACAAATAGCAAACAAATCATTCCAGTCACAATACATCCACATAGATATATCTGCAAAATAAGATAGCATAGATTATTGATAATGCTTGTATGAACAGTAAATAAATAAGAGTTGATTTTGTTTTAGATAACAAAGTTTTCCTTTATGTAAATATGTGCATTTTCTCCACAAAAAAAATTCCTTTATTACATTTTACTCAATGTAATAGTAGCTCACACAGTTAATAACAAATTGGTAAAGCAATTGGTAAAAACAACATATTGGTAAAACTAAGCTCTTACAAACATTACTTTTCCTTGGCTATTTCTCTCAGTTGCTCGCTCCATTCCAAAAATATTTCCTGGCAGTGAAGTATAAGACTGCAGCACGTGAAGAACAAGATAGATCATCCAACCAAGATACCCAAGGGTAATAACAGACATGAGCATCAGCCAGTCATAAGTCTGAAAATAGTGAAGTCCTTGCAATGCCAAACTTCTAAGGTTTTCAGATAAGTCCATTGCAGAATCATAATCTCTAGCCAATATCAGACCCTCAATTTTGTCCAATATTGAAGAATAATGAGACAGTGGCTTGAAAGGTTTAAAGTATAACAAATGTGACTGCTTTATATCTGAAGTTGTTAATGAAACCAACAATCTTCAATTATTTTCCTTCTACATTGTTTTCAAGAAAGAAACATAATTTCTATTATTTTCTTATATAACATATATCCCATGGATTGGCTGCTGAATTCTTTACATTTTTCAATTTATGGTTAAACCTTTGGCATATTCTTGTTCAGAGGAAGAAAAAAATGTATCTTCATTTTTGTAAACCAAAATGGAAGATGCCATCTTAGAGACAAGGAAAAATCAGTACATATCAAATACAATAAATAAATTATGTGAAGGATACGGGATTTTCGAAGAAACTGGTTCAGAATTTCCTTTGTATTGGATAGAACAGCTTCAACTTCTTCAGCCTGGAACATAGTATATACGCTAAATCTTAGTCAGAGTATTCACTGATTATCTTCAGCACATAAATGAATTTTGGTTTCCTACCCTTTCACCACAAGTAGAATCATGATCAATACATAGAAACTACATAATATTCCACTAAAATCAAGAAGCCCGTTATCAATTAGAACTAAAGGTACCTTGGTCATGTTAATGTAATCTCGTGGTAGAATACCGACTGAATTAACTGGACATGGCAGACCAAGTAATGTAGACTGTAAAAAAGTTGAATAAGTAAATCAGATAATGAAACCTAAAATTGAAAAGACAGATATGCAACATGCCTTGAACATATATCCTCTAAGAAAAAAATTACAACCATGAGTGGTGCAATATCAGCCTGATTGACATCCACCCTTTCTATCCCACGCAAGCCCCATTCAATTGGTGTTGGCGCATCATGCACGTGGTCGTCAACAAACCTAAAACCGCGATCAGAATGATTGCTGCTCGATACTGGCAATGGATGTTTAACACCAGCTCCCCATACAACAAGGGGTGTATCAGTGTTTGTAGGATGTCCATCTCCATGGCTTCCTGTGATGACAAATGAAATAAATAGTTAAATAAAACACAATAGCATAATATAAACCCTTTTTTATTCCAAAACAGAGTTCAAGCAAAAGAACAACTCAATTACTTGGAAACCGGAGATTCTTTAATGTCTAAAGAAACAGAACCCCAAAGCAATGACTCAATGCACACAATTTTGTAGATGGTATAATCTTACTAGGAGAGAATACTGAGAATAAATGCTAAACTAGAGTTGTAGAGAGTTTCAGAATCACATGGTTTCCAATTGAGTAGAAGTAGAACATAGTTTATGGAATTGCAAGTTCTGTCAGACGCACATGAGCGCAATTTGGAGGAGAGAAAAAATTAAGCGCAGTGTAGTTATAAGATGCACAGTTTATGCATCTTCAATTATTATACAGAAGCGACAAAGAAACAGAGAGATGCCAGTGAATGAAATGAAGAAATGGTTTAGGTGTTTTATGATTGAAAAGTTCCTCTTGACCTCAAAGGAAAATTTTACCATAGTGAAAATCCTTATCATGGTTTATGGTACTGAACAGATCAAGGAACAGAACAAGAAAAAAGTAAGCTGAAAATAATCCAAATATAGGAATTCAGAACACCATATGCTCCTTGATAATGGACTGCCTTACCTACTGATGTTGAGCTTTATAGTATTGCCTTTTCAATTTAATATCCAGGAAGAAAGAACTAGAATATGTCATCTTGATTCAGATTAAAAGTTGTTATAATTTGTTTCTTTACTGGCCATAAAATGGCAGGTCTGTGTAAGCAAAGGAAAAGATAGGTACTATGCACAATTACTGCCTTTCAATTATAACAAGCAAATTAAAGCGCTTCAAATACTAGTAATAGTAGTGATTGGTATATACTGAGGCATTCTTTTCAACATTTTTAACATCTTCAATGAAATTAACAAATTTAAATTTAAGTATTGCAACCTTTGTCGATTTATGAAATATAACATAACAAAATATGCAGTTAAAAAGATGATAAAAAAAGTGTTACAACCTTTATCACTCATTCCATGATCTGCTGTAAAAACATATGATGTAAGATTATCCTTGAAATAATCTTGAACAAGATTATATACACTTTCAGCTACATGGTCAACAACCTTAACATTGTTGAGATAGATAGATGAAAAGGGCCTGTGTGCATGACCATTAGAGTCACATCCAAGTAGGTGCAGGAATACAACAAGATTATCCTGCTGCAGCAACTTCTTTAATTTTGGGTCTTCATTGGACTGATTAAGAAGGCTTTGGAATTTATCTAGAGACCACAAGTCCAGGAATGATGCATCTGCATGAAGAAACGAAAACTACTAAGTTAATGAAAATAAGGATGGGAAAATTTATTAAACAGATTGCCAATATGTTTGATTTTACTATCTTAAACTCCTAAATAGCAAGATCAAGAAAAAGAATGTTAAGATAACACTTTGAGCACACCATTGTCCAACTTACCAGTAAGAAAGTTTTAAAAAGCAAGTGTTTGAAATAATGCAGAAAAGGATTCTCAATATTTGTATAATTAGAATTAAATAGGGCCAAATTTTATACTACCTCGTCTCTAAATATAATATCCCCTAGAGTAAATCACGGGAATTAAGAAAGTTTGTTGTAGTAAATTTATTGACTATTTGTATAATTTTACAAGTTTATCCTTAGGAGAGAGAATTATTTAATGTTTGTGTAAGAGTATTTAGTGCATATTGCGAAAAAAGATGCAACATAATTAGGGGTATATGGGTAAAAAAAATCATTAATACACTTTGAAATTTGGTTTTATAAAAAGGAACAAAGCAAAAATTCAAGAGGGTCTTATATTTAGGGACGGAGGTAGTAACTTTCTAATTTTTAAAGTATATGAACTTGATCAAAAAGTCCCTTGACTGTCTTAAATCTATCCACCCAGTCATCAATTGTGAAATCTGATCCTTCTATTGGACTAATCTCTCACTGATCTCATATAAACCAATAAAATACTGGTAAGTAAATTTACAATTACCAAAGTAATATGATTTGATCTCCAAAGTATGTACAGTTACAACTTACAGTCCATATCACTAAAAGAACGAAGTTACTTGCATAGGAATAGGATAGTAAACAGCAACATATTGAGGTATGTGTAATTACAAATTCAAATAAGTATCAATTATCTTCCACACCTTTTTTTATATTGACTCTTGAAGTTTGTGCCTATTTGTGCTTTAGCATAATCCATGGCATCTTAGATATAAGCATGCTAGGTTTCGAACATCCACCTGCAAGCCTAAACCTTCACAAGTGGATCCATTCTCATACTTCATCATATGTCTAAGAAACTAGAGATAGACTTAAAGAACAAATAGCTGCAAACTTCAAGAATCAAGATATAAAAATAGAGGGAGATAATTGACGCTGGTTTGAATTTTTCATTATGCAGGCCTCTTCATGTTGATGCTTACTATCTTAATTGATCCATAGATGGTGTAATTTCATTCTTTAAGGTTTATGTGGATACAATTATTTATTTTAGACATGGGACATCAAATTGTGTTACTTAAGGAATTGAAAATTTGTTTATTCCTAATATTATTTGGTTACAACATGAAAAAAAGCTTCAATTTGAATAGTGAGGTTTTATTTGGCTTATATGATACCATTGAGAGAATGATCCTAGTGGAAGGATCAATTTTTACAATGATCAGCAGCGTGTAGATTCGAGACAGTCAAGGGACTATTTGGAATTAGCATGGAAATATATAAGGGCCAGGAATCTACTTGGTGATATACCAGAGCATGGGGATTAACTAAGTGATATTGATCTTGTATATGATGAATGAGTCGAGAGTAGTTAGATTAAACTTTGTTGAGCATTTGCGCCATGTTTTTATCACTTTGTTTATGACTTAATCTTGAATAAATTATTTTGCAATTTTACTTGTATTATTTGTTTTCCTCTTTAAAAATATTGAAATAAGCGAGACTAACACATTTAGATTAAACTGTATGTTTTGAAAAGCATTACGTAGACATTATTATATATAGAAAGATTACAACTAATTACATGATATAGTCGATGTGTGACTATTCTATATACAAATTGTTAAGAATGTGGTTGGGCCTAACTCAACCCTACAAAACCGGTTGGTAGAGTGAGGATTACCCCCACTTATAAACACATGTTCATGCCATATATTGTCTGATGTGGGACTCTTAACACACCCCCTCACGCTCAGGACTGGACAACTGAAGCGTGGAAATAAATGGTGGGTGGCCCGATAGCGGAAACCATAAAAGGTGGCCCACCGGATTTTAAACGAGGCTCTTGATACCATGTTAAGAATGTGGTTGGTTGGGCCTAACTCAACCCTACAAAACCGGTTGGTAGAGTGAGGATTACCCCCACTTATAAACACATGTTCATGCCATATATTGTCTGATGTGGGACTCTTAACACAAATAATCTTAACACTATATATTTATAAATATCATCGTTCTCCCTCAAGCTTGAGCATATAAGTCAAATGCACCAAGCTTGCTACATATATAATTAGTTCTGGGGCTTCGCAAGAACTTTGTAAACACGTCCGCCAATTGATCATTAGAGTTGACAAAGCTTACGACGATGTCGCCTGACTCGATCTTCTCTCTGACAAAGTGACAGTCTATCTCAATATGTTTGGTCCTCTCATGAAAGATTGGATTTGAATCAATGTGCAATGCAACTTGATTATCACAAGTAAGTGTCATTTGTCTTACTTCTTCAATTTGAAGTTCCTTGAGCAATTGTTTTAACCAAATAAGTTCACATGTTGGCATTGCCATGGCCCTATACTCTGCCTTGGCGCTTGGTCTTGCAACTACATTTTGTTTCTTACTTTTCCAGGATATAAGGTTTCCTCCAACAGGTACACAATACCCAGAGGTGGATCGTCTATCAATTGGCAATCCTGCCCAATCAGCATCGGAGTATCCAACTATCTGAGTATGTCCTTTATCTTTATACACGAGACCTTTTCCTGGAGCTCATTTGATGTATCTCAGAATCCGGATAACAGCTTCCATGTGTTCTGGACAAGAGGAATTTAAGAACTGGTTTACCACACTAACTGCGAAAGAAATATTCGGACTAGTGACTGTGAGATAATTCAACTTTCCAACTAATCTCCTATATCTTCCTGGGTCAGATAAAGGCTCCCCCTGATAGGGTAGAAGTTTGACACTTGGATCCATAGGAGTATCAGCTGGTTTAGCATTCAACAACCTTGTTTCTTCCAAAATATCCATAGCACATTTCCGCTGGGAAATCACCAAACCATCTTTAGATTGGGTCACCTCAATTGCCAAGAAGTAGCAGAGTTTACCAAGATCTTTTGTCTGAAATTGATTCGAGAGATGTTGTTTCACCTGAAGTATTCCCTGCTGATCACTATCAGTTATGACGATATCATCTACATACACAATAAGATAGATGCATCCTTGGGCTAAGTGATGATAAAAAACAGAATGATCAACTTCACTATGGACCATACCAAACTATTGTAATACAACGCTAACTCTGTCAAACCAATCTCTCGGAGATTGCTTAAGACCATAAAGAGACCTGTGTAGCCTACAAACCATATTCGATGACTCTCCCTGAGCAACAAACCCATGTGGTTGCTCCATATATACTTCCTCTTTAAAATCACCGTGTAAAAAGGCATTTTTGATGTCAAGTTGATGAAGAGGACTTTGTCGAATGACTGTAATGGCTAGAAAAAGTCTGACAGATGTCATCTTGCCTACAGGCGAGAAGGTATCACTATAATCCAACCCAAAAATATGAGTGTATCATTTGCCTACCAAGTGAGCTTTAAACCGATCGATCTTAACATCAAGTTGCAGGATCGGATCCGGTGATGGCAAAGGCATCGGAGGAGAGTCTGCGATGACCTCAGGGATAGATACGGCAGACGTTGGTTGGCGACGCCGATATGTTTGAAGTGGACAAAAAGTAGGGGGGGGGGGGGGGGGGGACTGTAGGTATATTGAGTGTGTCAGGTTCTCTGGAATGATGGGGAATAATGACAGATGGGACATCCGGAAGATGTGTGGGAGTACTTTTCTAAAAGGGTTTCGGAGTTACTTGGTTGGATTCGAAATATAGAACAGACTCAAAGAAGGTAACATCGGCTGATACGAGGTATCGTTGTAGAGTATGTGAATAGCAACGATAACCCTTTTGTGATTGGTGATAACCAAGAAAGACACACTTGAGTGATCGAGCTGATAGTTTATCAAGTCCAGGGGAGAGATTGTGTACAAAAAATATGTTGACCCGAAAACTCGAGGAGGAATTGGGTGAAGGGGAGAGTTTGGAAACAGGATTGAATGAGGGATTATATTATTAAGGATAGATGAGGGCATTCGATTTATAAGATAACATGTTGTGAGCACGACATCTCAAAATCGGAGAGGAACATTACCATGGAGAAGTAAGGTCCGAGTGGTTTCTACGAGATGCCGATTTTTGCATTCGGCAACCCCGTTTTGTTGAGGTGTATGAGGATAAATGTTCACTTGCATTGTCACTTCTTAGGGTACGAATAGACAAACTAAATTGGGTTCTTATTTTCCGATAAAATTGTTCAAAAATAGAAAACAATTCAGACATGTTCTTAATTAAAAATAGCCACGCGCAACGTGAAAAATCATCAATAAAGGTTACAAAATATCTAGACACAAAAGTAGACGCAGTACGCGGGGACCCCAAACATCGGAGTGAACTAAAGCAAAAGGGGACGCAGCCCGTTTATTGACTCAGTTGGAAAAGTGACTACGAGTATGTTTTCCTAACTGACAAGACTCACAATGTAAAGTGGATAATTTAGATAAACTGAGCACCAACATTTGTAAATTGGAAGACCCGGATGACCTAACTGCACATGTATAGTGAATGGAGAATCTGTGGTGGAACTTGTGGTAGATGACGTAGAGAAGTAGTAGAGGCCTTGAGACTCACATCCGACGCCAATTGTCTGTCCCAAAGTCCGATCCTGCAAGGTAACATTATTGTGAGTAAAGGTGATAGAACAATTAAGGGACCGAGTTAAACGATTGACTGACAGTAAATTAAATGGGCAATTAGGAACGTATAAGACAAAAGTAACAGAGAGAGATGGTAGAATTTGAACAGTGTCAATCCCTTGACATCGAGTTTGAGAACCATTTACGGCAATGATAATAGGTAAGAAACCAGAGGTAAAGAAGGAAGAGAAAAAACCTTTATTACCGGTAACATGATCAGACGCACCAGAATCGAGGACCTAAGGACCAAAAGGAGATGATTGAGAGAAGCAAACAGATGAATTACCAGTGTGTGCAACCGAAGTCGTGGAACCAGAGTTTTGATTAGTCTGACACCACCTGAGAAAATTCTCGTAGCTTGGCGTAGAGTTTTGAAGAGAATGTGAAGTCTGCAGAGTGTCTGGGTGATCGATTTGAGCTGCATTTACCTGGCGTGGAGATCTGTCATGCAACTTCCAGCAACAGTCAATAGTATGCCCAAGCCGGTTACAATGGTCACACTTGGGACGAGGTTTGGAGTTGGATGACCCTTCTCGAAATCGATTATGATTATTGCCAAGAGATGCAACGCAGCAGTGTCACCCAATGTCGGAGCAACAATATATGGAGGGGAAACTGGGCCAAAAGCATGTGATGTAGTCAAACGCACAGTTGTTCACTAACTGCATCATAGTTAGGAAAAGTAGTACCTAATAAAATCTAGTTACGAACGGATTCAAGCTCTGATGGTAGTCCGATAAGTGTCATGATCATGAAAATTTTACTTTGTTGTTTGGCATGAGTTGTTGCATCTTTTGCGTAAGGCATGGGGGTGGCGTAATTTGCTTTCAAGGCATCAAGCTTACTCAGATAGGCTTGCATATCCATATTCTCCACCTTCAGAGTGTTGATTTTGCGGATGACATTATATAGACAATGAACATCATTGGAGAAGACTTTCTTAGCCTTTTCCCAAACCTCATAGTAAATGGAGAAGGTTTGGTATTGCGCTTGGAAATTGGATGCTATGGAATACCATAGCACAGTGCACAGAGATGCATCGGTTTTCTTCCATTTAGCAAGTTCGACAACAGGAACAGCATCCACTTTTGTGGTTAAGTGATCTTCATGTCCCTGACCGTGAAACTACATTTTGACAACACCAGCCCATATGTTGTAGTTGGATGAGCCGATTAGCTTTTCACATGGGATAAGCATAACTTTGGTAAACGAATCACTGAAACCAGAATCAGTGTCTCCCATGGCTTGGACAACAAAAAAACAGAGTGAAATCGAGGCTGTTTGCACTAGAGCACCGTTTTCTGTGAGTCGGAAAGTAAAACGGAGACCGGATCTGGAACGGGTGCGGAAAGGTGAGTAGACCAGCTGAAAAACGGCCGGAAACAGCCACCAAACGCACTGGCACGCGCGGGGCAGCGGCGAGAAAAAAGGGCGACAGCCGGATCAGATGGCGGCGAGTTGGATGGTGGGGTCGGTTTTCCAAAACATCACCGGAAATTTTGTCGGAACAGTAACGGCGGCAGTGGCGGCAGGGTGGTTACAGGAGAATTTTGAAAAGATCACTCCGGTTTGCAAAAAAAAAATTCTCACCGAAAGACAGTGGGTCAACCGGGTAAAGTACGGCAAAGAAAGAATTGACTCTTAGCAGGCTCTAGATACCATGTTAAGAAAGTGTGGTTGGGCCTAACTCAACCCTACAAAATCGGTTGGTAGGGTGAGGCCTGCCCCCACTTATAAACACATGTTTAGTCTATATATTTTCCGATGTGGGACTCTTAACAAATTGTAATCTCTCTATATATAATAATGTCTCTGTAATGCTTTTCAAAACACACGGTTTAATCTAATTGTCTCTTAGTCTCGCTTATTTCAACATGGTATCAGAGCCTCGTTTAAGATCTGGTGGGCCACCTACTATGATTTCCTCAATTGACCCACCCATCATTTATTTTCACACACTATTTGTCTAATCCTAAGCGTGAGGGAGTATGTTAAGAGTCTCACATCGGATAATATATGACTTGAACATGTGTTTATAAGTGGGGGCAGTCCTCATCCTACCAATCGATTTTGTAGGGTTGAGTTATGCCTAACCACACTTTCTTAATCCAATTAATTACATGATATGGTTAATATGAAACTATTCTATATACAAATATTTTTAACATTATATATTTACAAATATAAAAAAAATGTCATACTTTTATTGATCATTTATCTTACAACTCGTAGAATTGATTCACAATTTGGAAAATAGGTTCTCCGATTTAGTATAATACTATAATTATCTCGACTTGATAACCACAAATCTGAGATAGTTGAGGTCAAATTTCATCTAGAACAACGGGACCATATGACATTTAGGATAGTCAAGGTCATGCAATACCTGAACCAACCAGAGGATGATAATAATTGATCTAAGGCTAGTCGAAATTGCGAGTAAGGACTGTAAAATTTATGTACACTTGACCAAAATTTGTGGATCCTGATAGCAAATTAGTCATAGCATATTATGGAGCATACCACTCGTGATGAAATTATAAGATTTTAAATAAGGGAGATAAGAAACTTAAAAATATAGAAATTGTTGATTACCGCATCCACTAGAGATACGGGCCAAGGTTTTAAAAATAGTTCGTTACTGCAATTTAGGCCGTTAGAAATTGTTGATTACCGCATCCACTAGAGATACGGGCCAAGGTTTTAAAAATAGTTCGTTACTGCAATTTAGGCCGTGAGAAAACAGCATCAGCAGCGGCCAATACCATTTTTCCTGTTTTAACAGAACGAAAAAAAAATATCACACCGAAGCGTTGTTACGGCCGTGATATAATGTCGTTCATAAAAATGGATAAAGGACGACGTGTTTTTCAATTGAGATGAATAAAATCACTTTTTTTACATTTCTAAATATAAATTACATAATCTTATCTCCTTTTGGTTCTTTCACATTCTCTAAACTGGAGTTTTATTCTCTCATCTCATCTCTGGCTCTCTCTGTATAATGCATTCTGCTCAGTTTATTTACTCTAAACGTCTCATAATGATGAAAAAAAAAATTTAATTTAATATATTATACATTATATTATATGATACTAATACAAACAATATTGATAATATTTGTTCCTTTAATACACCCACATATGCCTACATTTAAACTGTCCAATTTTGGGCGTGAGGGGAAATTGATATCGCCTTAATCCACCCACACTAGTCCACGGCTCATAGATCCAGTTTTGAGTGTGAGGAAAGTGTTGAGAGTCTCACAGCAACTAGACATACAACATGGGTAGTGTTTATAAGGTTTGGATAGTCCTCTATTTACATGTTAGTTTTTGTGGTCTTGAGTTAAGTATAGAACCAAAATTCTAAGAAAGACTTTGAATTGTAATTATGGTTTCAAACTAATCGGTTTTTATATTTAGCCTAATTCAACCTTACAAAACTGACTTGTAAGATGAGGAACGACACTTTTAATAAACTCTAGTCAAGCCTTATCTTTAATAAATTTGGGACTTTGTTTTTCGAAAAAATCTTTCACGCTCAACACTATTGGGCTTGGCGCATGGACATAAATGTAGGGTGACCTGAATCGATGGACTCTGATACTATATTATGTTTTTATATTAGATCTAACTTAATTTTACAAAACCGATTTGTAAGGTGAGAGATATCACTCTTTATAAACTCTATCAGAGATTATCTTTAATTTATATGGAATTTAGTTTTTTCAATACAAACAAAAAAACTAAGCAGTGCACCAAATTATACCAATCAGGCTCCTAGTGCCTTTAGACCATAAGGAAACAAAAGCACGAAAAATAAAGAAATTTGAAAACTAATTCTAGGAGATAATCAAGAGATACATTTCATATATTCTAAGCATTTTTTAAGTAGACGGCATGCAATCATGTTATCTAAAAAGTTACAGAAATATGTGATTTTATATTGAGTTTAGTATAAAAAAATTTTAAACATATATAATCTATAATTCAACAGCCAGAAATTCAAGAAGCTAATTCAAAAATAAAACCTTTTATAAAAAATAACGCCACTAAATTTTAAAAGTGAGCATTGATTTGGTACCAAAGAATGAAAAGACAGCTGAATGGAAATAGAATGGGGTACACTTGAATTGTTTTTATTTTAAATGAAATATTTTTAGTACTAAGGGGAGTCTGTCACATGGATAAAACCATTAAATGAAGCTGTTATTCATAGAAATAAAGACCAAGAAGAACCTAGAACCAAAAAAACAAAAAATAAAAAACAAAAAAAAAAAGACCATGAAGAACCAATTTCCAAAAACTTTAAGTTATTAAATGAAGGTCCAGGTTGTGTCTTAAACAAAAATAAATGGTAAAGGTTCTATTCATTATTGAAACAGCACATATTGAAAAACTATTATGAAAACTCAAACCATTACCAGTTGCAAAGTCTTCAAACTCGTGTGGATAGGTATCCCATGTGCTATGCTGCAAGGCACCACAGAAAATTGGAACTATGTCGGGACTTCCAAAAGAAATCGTATGGCTGCTTCTGTTAAACACAGAATCAAACTCAACAGGATTAGCCTTCCACCCTGCAACAAACCAAAACCAATCTTTTAGTAGACACTAGGCAGAAGAATACAGGCAAGCCTAGTTAAGCATCTAAGTTGCTGGCTATGTTCCGATGTGAGTTTTCAAACTATGATCTGAAACTAGACCCTATTAGGGTGAACAGCTTAATTTGCAGCTTATAATATAGGCGTTTATCGTGATAAGTGTTTATATATGCGCTAATTTCTATAACAAATGATAAAATAAACTTAAATTGTTTTTGTATAAGATATAACTTGTTTTCATAAGCTATCTTGGAGAGCTTATGAAAATAAGCAGAAAACGGACATAAATTGTTTTAAAAAGTTTTCTCAAACAACCTCACAAGTGCTTATGCTTGTAGATATGTTCAAATAAGTCAATCCAAACAGACCTTTCAAAACTGCACTAGGATCTTCATAGAAGCCAGCAATTATGGAAACATGACCAGGCCTCGACTCAGTAGGAGGGCGAGCATGAGAAACCCCCCAACGACCTTGATTTTTAATTATGCTCCTCAGAAACCGTGCTCTGTAATTCCCTTCCGAATCAGGCTCATAGAACTTGTCAGCACGCAAACCATCAGCTGCATCCAAATTCAAGTAAATCAAAATTATACTATTTATTGCTCAATGCTCATACCCCTTCCGTCCCATAAAATATGTTTCATTTAGAATATTTAGTCTCGTAATAAACATCAAATTTTAAATATTTACTTGTCACTTACTATTTGTCAGTTTAAATCATCTAGCAACATTAACTAATATTTTCCACTAATATATTCTTATTTATTGTATCTCATTTTAGCTATCTACTCGACTAACTACTATTTCATAAATAAAATTATTCAATAAATGAAACTTATTTAATTATATAAATTAATTAGTACACTCAACACTTTTGTTAAGAATTGTACCACTCAACACTTTTGTAAGAATTGTACCTAATCATAAACAACAATTAACATGAGACAGAAGAAGTATTTGAACAGCAACTTTAGTTTAACAACTTCAATTTTTTGTTGCCAAGGTATATTTAGTCTATATTTGGATTCAAGTTAGGGGGCATAATCTCGCGTCCCAATGCTTTATGGACGTGATATTTGTGAAGCTACAGTTTGTCAGAGGGGCCAAACAAGTCAACACCACAAAAACAAAGACACTCTTAAGTGGTTTACTTAACAAGTACTTTTTATACACAATAGTTAGGTACATGGTTTTAAATTGCAGTCCGTAACAGCAATTGCAGTCGCAATATTGCTGATGCGGTAGCCTCCGCAACAGCATCTGGACGCAATTGCGGTGTGAATTAAAATTACATATACGATCGCATCAAAAATCACATTAGACGATATCAGTCATGTACATTCACTTCTTACCATAAATGAAAATATTAGAAGAAATCCCAATCTTTAAATGTAATAAAAAGTCTTAACTTCAAACATTTTTCAACTGTGTATTTCAAATAACTCTTAATAAGTATTCACGCCGCAATGGCTGAAATCGCAACACCCGCAACCACAATTTAAAACTATGGTCAAGTATTAAAACTCGGTTTGGCAAGGTCAATTTTGAGCTTACAGTGAACAGCTTATAAGCTCGAACGACCAAAATAGATCTATTAGTTAACAACTTTTTCTTACAAACTTTCTCAAGTAGCCTTTGTAAGTTTTACTCTTACTATTTTAATTGGCAAAATTAAATGTTGATCAAAAATATATTTTGTCATTTCATATTAATCACATAGTTCAACTGAAGCTAAACACTACAAATTCAAATTGCTAGCTTATCCGATATCTACTATAAACCCATCAGCCATTCGCTAACTTATCAACAATTCACTATTGGCTATGTTTTACCAAAGAAAACCTAATGTACTGATCACATCTGTATGAACCCAACTATCTATCAATCATGATCGAACCACTGATCATATGCCTAAAACTAGTCATATTGGTAATTTGGGACTGAACAACACCAACTAGCACTTAGAAAGGTGTAACAAACATAACATCAAACAGTTGGTGTGTGTGTGTGTGTGTGAATTTTGAGTTTGGGCGTACCAACTAGTAGAACGAGTCGTTTGGCAGGGGCAGAGAACCGAGGAGGAACAGGATCTACACCACGAACAATAGGAGATTTGAAGTATATATCAAAAATGCTAAGCATGTAAACAGCATGAAGAATCACACCAAGCACCACCAACCATCGTTCCCTTCTCTGCAACCACTTTATTCGCTTGCTCGTGGTGGCTTTGACTCCTGTTACTTGATCGTTTCTGTTTCCTAAGATCCCATCGCTGCGCATTTTTGCTTGGATCGAGCTTTGTTTATTGTGTAAGGTTCAAATGTTACTGAATGCTCGAAAAAGAGTACGAGTGAAACTGTGTGAAGTGAGTTCAATGGAATGTTTTTCACGTCTTCAGTTTAGTTTTGTGTTAAGTTGGGATTTGTGATTTGATTTGCGTTTGTTTTGTTTCCCTTCCAGTTGATGGTTTTCGTTATGAACCGCGAATAACCCATGACCCGATTGTGTCCAATATCCTATGGATCCTATACACAGCCCATTTAATTATTTTGGGGAAATTACTAGAGAATTTTTTATTGTATCCTATCAATTAACTATCAACACTTTAAAAAAACATTGTCCAAACTTACCAATTTGTCATTTCCTTACACTAAATTTACACTAGCAAAAGGTTACAACAGTAATCAACTAAATGCCAAATTAAATCTGATCCAACACTCTCTTCTCTTGCCAAACGTCATTCATCCATTCCATCACAATTTTTTTTCCTCTTTCCCACATAAACCTTCTCAATTTTTCAATTTCAATTTCAAAATCCTCTTCCATCTCCCACACTTTTTCCTCTCCCTGTCCCATTTTCTCTCATCTCTCTATCAACTCTTCAAAACCCCACACCGCTGCTGCCTCCCCTCCCCCCACCCTCGTCTTCGTTTCTCCTTCTACTTTTCAATGTTGAACACGGCAAGTTCATAACGGTACAAAATCACCATCTTTCGTCTCATTCTCTCTTCATATTCATTTTTATACTTCTATTTCTGTTTGTGCCATCATCTGTATGTCTGTGCATGTTCATTAATGAACTTCTATTTCATACCGCATTTTTAGGTTGGTTGCAATGAACTTCTATTTCATAATTGTGCGTTTATTTGAGTTTTAGTGCTTGCAATGATGAAGTCCATACCGATCTCACTATATTGTGTTTATTCCAACTTACATGCTATCTACTTTACAAAAGAGTTCATTTTCCGAATTTTGGTGTTCAAAACAGTTATGACACTATCCATATTATGAACTGTTTTGTCATTGAATTTTACTTAAGCTACCTGATGATGGTTAATTCCAGATTATTTTTGAATAAAAGTATATGAATTTGAAGAATAAATGATAATATCTTATACCGTGCTAATATCTTCTGAAGGGATTTCATGTGGAACAATCTGGAATTTTTCAGAAGGAATTTTGTCATTAAATTTTCAAAAGGAATTTTTCAAACCTCACTTCTTTTACAGTTTTTGAGAGATTAAGAATCTGGCTTTGTGACAATTCTCATCCGGACACGGATTTTGCCACTGTATACCATAGCTGTTTCTGTACCACACCTCATTGCAAGTGCAAACTGGGTACTTGGAGAACTATGCTCCTGTTTACCAGAGGTAAGTCACTTAATCTAGCTATCACAACTCAAGCAAATTCTGTTTCATATGAAGTTACAATATATTTCATGTATCTTGTGTGATATAGTCACGAAAACATTCTGAGGTGATTCAATCTTGGTTTCTAACCTTGTGTGTCATTCCAGGAGATGAGTGTTGATGTATATTCTCAATTGCTTATGGCATTGGTTATGCCATAGTTTTTGGTGTCTCCAGTGATGCATTACATATTTCTTAGTTATTTTCAGAGGCTGAATATGCCACTCGCACATCATGGTGTGGTAACACAATTACTACTTTTGATCTGAGTTTGTATCTGCAATAGGTGGTTGAGCGTGGAATCGCTACTCTGGCAGTTATGGGTCAGACATGGGAAGACTCTAGGCCTGAAGTATCTGATTCTGAATCAAATGATTTGCAAGAAAAATGGGGTGCAGATCAGGCAGCAATTGGCAGAGCTTTTGCTGCACTGTTGCAGCAGGTTTGGCTAACACCTTTGTTCACACAGGTTAGTTTGAGGGCCTGGCTAAATTTGATTTTCTCAGGAGTATTATTCTGGAGGAAAATCCAATTAGAGAGTTTGAATGGGTTTCTTGAAACAATAGCTGTGATGATTTCACTTGTGAGGTGGAATTCATTCTCTTTTTGAAATTCCTCAATTGTTTTACAGCTGCCGTGACAATATAATGTCCCGACTACATGCACTTCTAATTTAGATCCTATTTGATGTACAATCAGACTGGTTGTGCTGATTAGTCTTTTTGCTTTCAGATATTAGCTGCTTTCCTTTAATTTAATCATACATTATATTCATATGAAATGTTTTCAATGTCAATTTATTTGAAGTGTTTTCTGAATTTTATAAGGATCAACAAGACCAGAATTCTCTGACTTTATCATGCATAGAAGATTTGTCAGCTTTGCTACGATCTCTCATGCTTTCTATTGATTCAAGCCACTTGATTCAAGAGCTGAAAGTGTCATCCCTCTAATATTCAAAACTTTTGTTATGCAGAATATTAAGGTTTTGGATATGAAAAAGCTTATGATTTAGCATGATTATTTTATGGATGTGCTTGTGCCCTGATTATTTAATAGTTATTTCTTAAATGTTTTATTTGAAAATCATTTTACAGTATATATGGATGAGTATGCAATGCTTCTAAAGCTAAAGTCTGATTATATAGGAGATATGATTTATGGTGTTCAATGTCACATCTTATGCATTTTATGGATCTACTAATTCTAAACACACTGGTTTTCTATTATACAATGAACTGAATGATACCATTGTTGAAGCTGAGCTTAGAAAAAGACAAGTTCCTCCATTACTAGAATAAGAGAGCAATGGAGTGACGAAGATGATGAGTTCCTCCAATACTGTTGTTTGTTCATTATGCAGGTACTGAAATTTCTGTTTTACATCTTAAATATGAAAATAGACCTGCAGTAACTGTCGCTACGCGAAAAATGACACAGAGTCGCCACCGGATTTTATTTATCCCACAGATGGAAAGGGAAATAGCGATAAAACCTTTGGGAAAGGAGCGTGGTCATCGCAACCAAGTTTTAGGGTTCGGGAGTCGGTTATGCGAGGGGAAGGTATTAGCGCCCCCTCGCATCCATCGTACTCGATGGGAACCTCCTAGGTTATTTCGCGTGAATGGGTGTTTTTATTAAGAGTTTGCTTGCTTAAGGAAAGAGGGGTTGGTTTATTTATTTTAATGCTCGCCAAGGATTGTGGCCCTTGTGCCTACGTATCCTCACTTAAAAGAAGTGAAGAATCAGAGCTCCGTAGTTCGGAGGCTTGTGAAATTGTTGTTTGTTGGTTGATTTTATACCTTGAAAAAGGGTTTTTGATTGAAGCCCTAAGGCGAAAATAGGTTTGATGAGTTGATGTTATTTTTTAAGTTTTTTAAGAGAAATTGTTCTTGATTAGGATTATACACAAAAGACTTTGGATAGAAATGAATGTTTCGAATAACCAAGTCGAGCGCCTTGTATCCAAAACATTCGGAACGAGTGTAGGAGGACTCCATTCTCATTCCTTCTCCACCACTTTAAAGTTCATGGTGCATAATTCTAATCGTATATTTTATTGTGTTTTGAGTTGTTTATAAGAAAAAGGATCACTTGATGTTGGATCAAGATTTATTGTTTGTAAAAAGCATTTGAGGTGACACGAATAAGGTCGATGGCGGACGCACAAGGCGGCCGACTCACATGGTCGAAAATGGCTCGATAAAATTGAGAGTTTGTTTTTGAAAATGGTTATGGAATTAAAAGTCAACAAAGACAATAGCAATATTCACACTAAAACCATACAAACATATGGGTTAGTCGGCTAAAAAAAATCGAGCCATGCAAAAAAACGGCACGAAGCAAAAAAAAAGCATAAACAAACTGATCAGTTTGCGCCGCAAAGGGTGTTTGCACCGCGAACTGAGAAAAGTGAACATTCTATTTTTTGCATGTTCGCGCCGCGAAGGGTGTTCGCGCCGCGAAGGGTGTTCGCGCCGCGAACTGAGAAAAGTTTTCATTCTATTTTTGACAGTTCGCACCGCGACCTGAAGCGAAAAATACAGTATTTGCTGTATTTTTTTGCTGTCTTTTGTGATTTTCTCCCTTTTTATTGGTTCTCAAAAATGGTTTTTTGGGTCCCTTTAGAATCTTACATGGTATACTTAGTACAACAACATATAAAAGAGGAGGTAAATTAAATATAAAAGCAAAAAAGTAAAGAGAGAAAGGTTTGAAATGGATACCCAAGAGCTTTCTATCTTTCTTGCGAGTCCTCCACTGATTTTTGTTGGAGGTGCTCTCTACTCTTCACTCTATGTTATGAAGATTATGTTTCTCAATGGTCCTCTTATGCTTCTATATCACTCTCCTTTTTCTGGTTTTTCCTCCTTTCTATTTTTCTGGTTTTTAAGGTTTCTCTTGCTCTCTCTATTTTTCTGGTTTGCAATGTGTGTAGAATGTTGAAATGAATGAAGAGTCCCTCCTTTTGTTTACAGCCTCTTGCCTTCTCATCTCTCCCCTCTAGGGTTTTCCCTTCTCCCCAAACATCAGATTTTTTCATGGGGTAATGTTTCTTACCACCTTTTCTCATGTCACTATCTTTCTTTCCATTTCCATGTATATGGCTATGCTGCATTTTTCTGCACTACTTTCTCATGCTGTCTTTTTCTACAACCCTCTACATTGCTGTCTTTTTTCTGCTGCACTTTGTATCTTGCACCCCTTTTGTTGGCTTGTGTCTTGACAGCTCTTGTGGTCAATGCTTCTACCCTTTTGACAACATTTTGAAAAATCTGATATTTAGTATATAAATGCATCATTGTGAGTTCATTTCCTTGGTCTTGTGACATGCATATTTTGTGACATGAGGCAACTTGTCACCTCTTGCATGGGACTGTTTTGCCATGATTAAACATGCATAATCTTGGTCTTAAAACATTTCAATCTTGATTTAATTCTTGCATATTTCTTGGGATGTTTGTAAGCATAATGTGGACTTGGTGTGGCATTACCATAACATGAATTTGATTAGAGACTTGAATGAAGATTAGAAATAAATTAATTTCTAAACATTACTTAGAGTTGGAAATCTTGCAACAAATGACATTCTTGTAATGTCATTGAAATTTCTCTTGGTAATATTCTTGCCTCTAATTCATGAATTCATGATGGATTCCCCTAGAACCATCAAACAAAATTGGATGGAACAATCTTGAATTTGGCCTTGAATTTCATGTTCATTAGGAATATATTTTGAATATCCTAATATATTGTCAAGTAACTTCTTCTTGAAGAAATCCACATGAGCAATCCTCCCAATTTAGATCAAACCTTAGGTGATGAACCTTTTTCTTCCATGTAGTCCAAGATAGACGAGTTATGTCATTTGAAATGGGAAATGACAAATCGAACCAATCCGTACCCACATGCTCGATATGCAATAAAATGATGTATGATATGGCGAATGTAGGGTATAAAGGCTAAAGGCGAAAATGAGGGTGTGACAGTAACCGATATTGTTTTTAGTAAACAATATTAGAAGCTTCGAAATCAATTTTTTGCCTAATGATTGCTAAGTTTGTTAATGTTGCAGACTTGTGAAAATTTCTATTACTGAGAAAAGGTACATAAACTACGGATTTACAATTAACTTATGGTTAACAAACAGGCAGAGTACCGAAATGGGAAACTAATTTTATCAGTTGATGAGTAATGTTGAACCTATGTAGTTTGTGCCATGTATTGGGTGTGTTCCAAGAAGGTGAGAGTATTGCGAAGGATAAAAATGATACTAAAGAATCAAATGTTTGTTAACTATTTTTTTCTGCTAGAGTATAATAATCATGGTTTGCGGCTCAACTAAGTTTCAGATTGTGTTTCGGTTCAGAAATTTCTTGCGGTTTCGGTGAGTTTCCATTTTGAATAATGAGTTACTTTTGGTCCAGTTCTGGTTTCGAGTTTGGTTCAGAATTTCGTTTGGATTTGAAATGTATTTTCAATTTGATTCGAACCATGGTTTCTGGTTTTGGATTACTGTTGGCTCAAGATTTATATTTCAATTCTTTTTCTGATTCAGTTTCGGATAAGGATGCTTATTACAGATGGGAGCGACGACGAGCATCAAATATTACTTATGAGAAGACCATAAGACGATTTCATCGGTACAACTTAAGGATTACCTGAACAACTTTCGGTACAACCGTGCACTCAGCAAAGAGGAAAAGAACAAAATCCCTATTTTATGATATAGTACCAATAACATATATTATACTAAACTTTTGATGAGAAAATGTTTGATTTCTACACATTAAAATAATTATTATTTTTAAATATTTATGTAGTATGATTACAACACAAAAATTTAATATTTTTATATATTTTAATAGTTTATGAGGATTTTTATTACTTAATATATAATATTAATATAATTATTGATTTCGGTCATTTGATCTTAAATTAAGAGGAAGATGGTTCGCTGATGATTTAGTAAAGATTTAATGTGAGTCAATTTATCTAAAATCTAAGATCGACTAATGCCTTTAATTATTTTCTTTGTTTAATCCTATTCTATGTATATGTTAATATGTTATTTGAACATTATATAAATTCAGTTATTTGTGAAATTTTAACTTTTTGAAACATTATAATAATTGGTTGAAACTGATGTTATATTTTTATTTATTTGTTTCTTCTTATTTTGGATCATTAATATCCTTTGTCAAAAATAAATTGTATTTTATATAACCATATTGTAAATTTATAGGTAAAATTTTTTCATATTATAATTTTTCATTTATATATTTTCCATTTAAAATAAATGAGCTTTTTTTACATATATATCTCAATATATTATTTCTACAATACCAAAATAAATTTACTCGTGCGGGAGCACGGGTATTTTACTAGTATCTTTATATAATATCATGTCAACTTTCATATATGTTTTCTGATTTCGTAGATATTTTTCAGGACATATTCTAGCACATACTCAATAAAAATTATTTTGAGGTACGCTCTTACTCTTAGTTTAATTTATTTCAAAGATATATCTCTAAAATAATTTTGCAACTACATCTCTGGAGGCATACTAGAAACAAATTCAACAATATAGTTATTTATCAAAATGAAATTGACATTCATAACACAAAATGAGCATTATAAGGATGATTTCAATATTACATTTCAATATCCCAGTGGACATTTGCACATCTTCAAAATATGTTCGACCGATCTTTATAGCGTCGCTTCCAACTCAAGCGGAACTTTCTCTTTGAAACTGAAATAGGTATCCCACATAGCCCTAACATCTGCTTGCGTCTTAATCTCAAATTCATTGAACTCAATCTTTCATCTGTTGTCAATAGATGATGAACGGTACTCGAGCTTCACAATCTTTTGATTGTCTCTATAAGGTAGGAGATGGTGGATTTCGTCTTTGACATCTTCGAGGGAGGTGAAGTCGGTGAGCTTG